CACACACACACACACACACACACACACACACACACACTCACATCACCAACAATACTAACACACCACACACCCAACACATATAAATCAAAACACAGGTGGATGGTGACTTACACACACACACACACACACACACACACACACACACACACTCACATCACCAACAATACTAACACACCACACACCCAACACATATAAATCAAAACACAGGTGGATGGTGACTTACACACACACACACACACACACACACACACACGCGCGCGCGCGCGCGCGCGCTAAATAAACCAAAAAGTCTTTTTAAAAATTGTAAGTTTAAATCTTTTTGTGCCGTGAGATAGGGTCACAACTGAGAATACTTTGTCAATGTCTTTCAGTCAAGCATAAAGCCATGAAAATACCTTGATAGCTCTCCATGTGTAAGAAGTTGTAAGAATCTTGTACCGTGAGGCCAATTCCATCACAAAAAAAAGTTAAGTGGTTCTAACTCTAATTATATAAAGTCCTGTAGTAACTACTTGCCCAGTAGTGTCTTTAGTGAATGATTAAATCTAGACTGGATTATAATTATTTTTGAACATATGTATGTATATTCAAAATAGCACTTTACACAATGGAATTTTTCAGGCTCCTATGTAAAAAATAAAATTAATTTCTTAAGGAATCTATTTTGGCTGGGCATAATGGTGCACACCTTTAATCCCAGCACTTGAGACATAGAGGTGTGATCTCTTTGAGTTCAAAACCAACCTGATCTACATAGAGAGTGGCCTGGTCTACAGTGCGAACATGTCCAAAACAAACAAATGAGCAAAATAATTTTAAGGGATAAATTTGGTGATTCAGGTCTAGGAAGGCATTATGAGAAAGTTACAAAAATGGCTACATGTAAGCTCAAGAAACTGATTTTTCAGAGGCTGCTGATAAATGAGATCCCTAACCATGTAAGTATTTCTAATCAGACATATACAGTTGAGAACACCAAGCCTCCAGACCAGAAAAGCTGGGAAAGAAAGCTTGGTAACCTTGAACGTCCTCCTCCCGCCCCCAGCTTCTCATTTTCTTTCTTTCTTTGAAAAACAAGGGCACTTGGTTCTCCTGTCCCCTTGCTGCTGGAGTGGTCTAGCCTGCTGTCACTTTGTTGCACTTGGTTAGGTTTATGCTTGTGCCTTTTCTGTTTTAAGATCACATCAGAGGGTGTCAATGGCAAGCCTGTGATGACTCACAAGCCTCAGCTCTAAAGGGTTTGTGCCACAGGCTTTGGTGGCTTTGTATAACACGCCATCCTGACTCTTGACTCTTATATAAGTGACAGAGACATGTTTCATCCTAAGAAACCCTGAGCAAACTGTTTTTCAACTCATAAGAGCTGATGAACCTCACGGAAACTCAGTGACATAAAGTTGGAAATAACAGAGTCAGCCATTGGGCCAAGTTTATCATCCTCACAAACACACACACACACACACACACACACACACACACACACACACACACACAC